CTTATATATGTTTTTGAAAAAACTTAAATAGTGACCCTCGTATTACCGGCAGTTGGTTATTTCTCTGGCTATCGTGTTGTTAATTCGATTGATTTTTCAAAAATACATTTTTTGGAAAGATATTTTATTCTTTCAATTAATTAATTAATTCTTAATACATTAGAATATCTTAAAAATTATTGAATAAATTTTATTTATGCAAACAAAAACTACTGTCACCACCAATTTCTATTATATAACAACATATAACTGTTTACGAAAATTGAACGCATTTAGGGATCATATAATTAGCTTATAAAAATATCCCTGAATATTTTGCATTAAAAATGTGCGTTTTAGGTAAAAAGAGCAGTTATTCAATCAAATGTGTATCGGAATGGCAATAAGCTATTTGAATGTGCAAGAAAATGACTGACTATTTCGTGACAAAATAGTTGACTGGCAAGCGAATTAAAAATTAGTGCTAGAATAAAGTCTGTATTAAAATCATTATTCTGTTACTACTAATTTAGCCAGCTTTAGGTCACTTTTTTAAAAACAAGTTGAGATTTAAGAGAGCTGAAAGTTCAGTCCCAAATCTTTCTTTTGATCGATATATATGTTGTTTACATAATAAAAGTGATAAATCTGAAAAAGTTTCTTCTGTTTAAAGGTCAAAATATAAGTTGTCAGTGCTTGTAGTAATTCTTCAAGCGACTGGATTTTTTTTCATCAGTTCAATGTCAGAGGCAACCATATCCTTAATTAGATCTAAGAATGAAACTTTTGGCTTCCAACCAAGTTCTTGGCGTGCCTTTGATGCATCTCCAAGAAGTAAATCAACTTCAGTTGGACGAAAATACTTTGGGTTTATTCTAACACGTACAATATCCGTACCAGCCTCAACACCTACTTCATTCACTCCCTCTCCGCGCCATAGAATTTTTCGTCCAATTACACCGAATGAAGCTTCGACAAATTCACGGACACTGTGCGTTTCACCTGTTGCCACAACAAAGTCTTGTGGCTCTTTTTGCTGTAACATCAACCACATTGCTTCAACATAGTCTTTTGCATGGCCCCAATCACGTTGCGAATCCAAATTTCCCAACTCAAAATATTCGATTTGATTCAACGAAATCTTGGCTACTGACCGCGTTATTTTTCGTGTTACGAAATTCTCACCGCGCCTAGGCGATTCATGATTAAATAAAATACCATTACATGCGAACATTTGATACGCTTCACGATAATTGATAACAATCCAAAAACCATACATTTTGGCACAAGCTGAAAAAGATTGAATTCAATTAATCATAGACAAAATTTGGAAAAATTAAATAAGAAAACCATAATTACCGTAAGGTGATCGCGGATAAAATGGTGTTTTCTCATTTTGAGGTGTTTCCACTACTTTTCCATAAAGTTCAGACGTACTTGCTTGATAAAACTTTACTTTTTTCTCCAAGCCACACGTTCTAATTGCGTCTAGCAGTCGAAGTGTACCAACGGCATCAACTTCAGCTGTGTACTCACTGAGATCGAAAGACACCTTTACATGGCTTTGTGCAGCTAAATTGTAAATTTCATTCGGTCGAATGGCTGATATAATTTTGATCAAACTACTAGAATCCTGAATAAGTGAATGGACAAAAATTAATTAAAAAAAAAAAAAAACAAATTGTAATAGTAATATAAAATAAATAAATACCGTCATGTCACCATAGTGTAACTTCATCCTTCCTTCGCGATGACTGCTCGGATCAGCATACAAATGTTCAATACGACTCGTATTGAATGTACTTGCTCTTCGTATAATGCCGTGCACTATATATCCTTTCTCAAGCAAAAATTCAGCCAAATAAGAACCATCCTATGAAAAAAGATCACAAATAATCATAATTCGTCAATCAGTATTTATTCCAAAATTGAATATAATTTACCTGTCCTGTTATGCCGGTTATTAGAGCAACCTTTGTATCATCGCTTATATCATTTTTTTCATTTAACACTTGATTATTAGCCATTGTTAATTTTTTCTTTCGATATTATTCGTTTGTTCAATGTTGGACAGTTTATATATGTATGTTATCAAATTTATCTATAGATTAAATGTACATTTAACACTTGTCACAATTGCGTGGCATTTGTCATACAACTAAAAAATGTAAACAAATTCATAGTAAACTAATTCATTTTTGACAATTCGTAGCCACTTCTAATAACCAAACATTTGATTTAAATCAATTCAGGGCTGCAATCAATTGCATTTTCTATTTTACTCCCTATTTACATTGACAGTAGCATTTTGACAGATGACAAATCTGCCATTCGTAATATTGGCAGTATATGCATTAGTGAATACAGATACATAAGCAGCATTTTTTTTACTAATTCAATTTTTAATTAGTATACAAAAATATTTTGAATTGAATGAAACTTAAAAATTTTGCTTCAAATATTTACCAAATAAATTAGCAAACATGTTCACATATAGATATATCTTTAATTGCACGATTATTGTGATTTTTTTATTTACATTAATTCCATCAGCCAGTGTAAGTGCGCATTAAATAAAATCCATCCCAAATAATAACTATGCCATTGTTTTTGTTTTTGTTGCGTGTTCATTTTCATTTTATCTTTATCTGTATTTCTGTTAAATATAAATAGTTGCAGTCGTATGAAGACAAACGATGTAAATGTGTTTGCCCTAGTCTAACTTCTGTTTCAAATGAAACAGATAATAACGAACGGTGGTTATTCATCGAGAATGTTCCACCGTCGAAATGGTAAGACTTTGTGCTGGATATTTAAATAAAAAGATTACAACACATTTTTTCTGATAATTTTGCAGTAATTGTGATGGTGTAGTATTACCGCGTCTGAAGGATAAAATACCATTGAGTAAAGGACCCGAATTCTGCCCAAGATGCGAATGCAAATATGAAAATCGAAATACGGCCATCATTAAAGTGGTTGTTATCATTGTAATTTGGGTGATATCATTGCTTGTTGTCTATATGTTATTTTTAATTTGTTTGGATCCTCTGCTCAACAAGCGCATCAAAAACAGCTACCTAGAGCACACAAATGAAGAAGTATGTTAAATTAATAGCTTTTTTCCCCGTCCTTACTAAATTTAAACTTATAAATTTAGTTTTTGCTTTGCTTTGTTGTTTTTGTTTCGTTTTATTTCTTTATGTTATTTATTCTATTCCAGTGATACGTTTCGTCGTAGATAGAGTAGACGCTTGGTTGGCTAGATAATACTTTATTTGATTTATTCGAACAAAAATTATTATTTATACACAAACTTAAAAACAAATGACCGTAAAAGTGAACCGGGAGTGTATTTTTTTACCGTCATATATATTTTTGGTGTAGCAATTGTCTTGTTGCTACATTCGCCCAAATCAAATAATTGAAATTTTTATCAAATATGACTTTACAGTATATACAATTAAAAAAAAAAACGCTTGCATTTTTTATTTTTACATGTTTTTACACTACCTACTATATCTTTATGTCTATGTCCTCAGTATCTAAAACAAAAAAAAAAAACAATTTATTTATTTATTGTATCTAAAAAGAGACTTGAAAAACACATTCTTTATATTGTCTCGCTCTCGCACAGGATGATACTACTACAATATCGAACTCAGCAAATAATTCGATCGATTTGGGTGTTCGAGTGAATGTTCTGAATCGTGTTGGACATCAACAAGATAAATGGAAAAGACAAGTACGCGAGCAACGACGCAATATTTACGATCGACACACAATGTTGAATTGAAATCATCAAAATTTAAATCAAAATTTGTTTCTTTTTTTGTCAGTTGTCATCTTATCTTCAGTTTTTTAAGATATTTTCATTTTGTCAATTATTTCAAATCGTTTCGATCCCAATATTTAGCTGATATATTAAATGCTTGGATAAAGAAAAACAAAATTGTTTCATTTCTCATATTACTTATTTACTTTTACACTTTGAATGTGAATATACTTGAGTATAATAAGATTAAAATTTGCGTCGTTTCAAGAGCTCTGGTCGCCAATTTATTGGATACATTTCCTCGGTGGCTTCGTCATCTGGCTTGTAAATTTTGATCGTTTTGTCAGCTTCTGTTGTTATTAAACGTGTTCCGGTGGCATCAAATGTCATTGAAAATATACCTATGGCAATGTTACAAAATGAAATGAATAAAGGCAATGGAAAAATGTAACGAAAATGATTGATAATGTACCCGCTTCGCTATCCATTGAACCAGGTTGTACAGGTGCTTGGAATCGCTGGAAATTGTAACCAGTTCTCCAATCCCAGAAGAATAAAGTACCATTATCACCTCCTGACACTAAGACACCATCTGTATTGACAGCCATACAATTAACAATCGCTGTGTGACCGGAAATGTTTTGAATGAAATTTCCTTCGGGGCATCGCCACTGCTTAATATTATCAGGTGATGCTGATGCAAATGTGTACCTAAAAATATTTCAATAAAATAATCATGAATTAATATTTGGAATTTGAATGTTAAAATAGTATATATGTCAACATACAAAGTGGGATGTAGAACGATGCTTCGAACGCTTTTCTTGTGATTGGTCAATGTGCAGACGCTCTTTCCAGCTGCCAAATCCCATAATCGAACCGTGGAATCGTGACTGCCGGTTATAATTTGAGGATCGGTAGCTTGAGCTACGACACTAGCAACAGTATTTGTATGACCGCAGAGAGTATGAATATTTGCTTTAGTTCTCATATCCCATATGCGCGCTGTTGAATCACGACCCGCCGTTACAAGTACGTCAATTGTGGGATGCAATGCCATTGAATAAACCGCTGATAAATGACCATGGTAATGTCTGATAACTTTATTATATTCTAGATCCCAACATTTAACTTGTCTATCTTCACCGCAACTAAATAGATATGGGTGCTTTGAGCTCACTGCCAAACCGCGAACAGTGCTTACATGGCCAGTTAGTGAAAGTTTCAATTTACCACTAGCCAAATCCCAAATTTTAATAACACGATCGGCGGCACCAGTTGCAAACCATTCATTGCCTGGCTCAACAGCAACGCATCGAACCCAGCCCAAATGACCGGATATCACGCGGCACAATTTCCATGGTGCATGCCATTTTGGTTTTGGTATGGATGGCGCCTTCTTTGGTTGCAATTGCAATTGATTACTTGGAACGGATGTTTGACTGATATAATAATTATCTGATGCAGTTGTACTTGTCACTGGAACCAAAGCTGACATGGAACTTGATTCTTCAACACTTGAACTGGTTTCCTTTTCAGCATGTGCTTGTGCATTTTCATTCAGCGATTTCACCGAATGCTGTGAGTGATCTTTTCTTTGACTCTTCACACGGTCATACACATAGTCATATGTGTCTCGTGCCTTTAATTCTCTTTTCTTACGTTCTCTACAATAAAGCGAATTGCAATTAATCATCATCATTTATTTTATAAATGAAAAAAGTAGTAAAAAAAAGTCATGGATACTCACAGGTCCTCGTCGATTTCTGGGAGAAGAGCTTGATTAGATACAAACATATCATGAGATCGTTTTAATGAACGAAAAACCAACGTATGCACTGAATGGCGTTGCACTTCCTCCATTTCGAATTTAAGTTCTTCTTCGTTATATTCTTTTAATTTTTTATTTTAATTTACAGCCGAAAATTTCGTTTCAAAATTTGTATATTGATCAATGACATTTGTATCGTGTTTGGTTATACACACAACTCAAACGTTTAACTTAATCCTTGTTCACACGAGACGAAAGTACACACCAGGGTTGAACAAATGACATAAATTAAATACAAAGCCAAATGATTCAATGAACATTCCAATAATTTGAAAAAACAATCGCTTTTAAATACTTTCAACGATTGATAGAAAACCATTCAAAATTCGATTTTCGCAAACATAAATATATAAATGCATGCTACTTAACATTGACCTTAGTGTGAACAGGACTTGTTGATAAACGAAATGAGCGCGATTTTAGCGCCACGTTGTAAATGTCAAATGGACGCTACAGCCTCACACCATTACAACGGCAAAATCTACACTTTTTACATTCTAATAGTGAATTACTACTTTGAAATCAATCATTTTAATTATAAAGCAAAAACTTAATCAATCTTAAATTGGAGTCACTAAATTGAACAGAAAAATATAAAAATGTTGTACCTTGAAGATTATTTGGAGAGTAAGTGCAATTTTTTTTATTTATACATGAATTATGTGAGGTAAAAAAAGTTTAAATTAAGGTTTTTTCATCGCCATCTTTTTTTCTTTGATTACCACACACATACATGCTTAAGTTGTGTGAATAAAAGCCAAACAAAAATGTGTATTTTGACATTTTAAAATTTATAAATTCTAAAAATTTTCGTAACAAACTCAAAGTCTCCTTCAATAATTTAACTTCAACATAAGATTCACGTAAAAAGAAAATACGATTTGGATTTTACGAATAATTTTGAAATTGAAATGATATTTCTTGGAATTTGCAAGTTAGAAAGAATATGCGTATCGCTCGTACATATGTGGTGGTTGACATTTTTGGGCGCGAACTTCAATATTTTCCGATATAACAGTTTAAAACCGAATAAGACGATTTTAATTGAATTTTTTAGTGATCGAACACTTGCCACAGGAGCTTCGAGATCGATTTACTGATATGCGTGAAATGGACTTAACCGTCCAAAGTAAGTTCAATATGACAAAATAAAATTCTCATTATGGCATTATGTGGATTTTTAACATTTTACTTATTTCAAAACAACAATAAAGACCACATTGATGAAATAGAAAAAAGAATCCGTGGTCTATTCTCAAGATGTGCGCGCGGCGAATTGCAAGGAACACAAGCCGACGATGAATACAACGAAATCAGCAAAGATTACTACAAAATTTTGGAGGATGCGGACGAAAAGGTCGCATTGGCTAGTCTGATGTACGATCTTGTTGATCGTTATTTGCGTCGGCTTGATAGTGAGTTATTCAAATTCAAATGCGAGTTAGAAGCTGACCACAATGGTATCACAGAAATACTGGAGAAACGATCACTTGAACTAGAAGGAAATAGTAGTAGTAGCAATAGTAATATAAACAGTAATAACATATTAAGTAATAGTACATCTAATGCAAGTAATAGTCAGAAAGAGAATCGATTTTTTGGTGCAATTTCGAGTAACATGAACACGCCACAAAATCGCGAAAAATACAAAGCGAGGCCAGAGAAACGACGTAACAGCAGTACAAGTGCGGCAGTTGGACCAATAGAAAAACGTCCGGCCCTAAGTACACCCGTTTCAAATGTTGCAACTACACCGAATAATACAGCTCATTCATCGAGTTCGTCACTTATTCTGCCAGCAAATACACCGACACTCCAGACGAGTGTACCATATAATTTACAACACATTGGTGCCGGTAATGCTATAGCAGCAGCGGCTAGCCAAGCAATTGTTGCTACACAGCAAATGCAACAAGGCCGGCGCACAGCAAGTTTAAAGGCATCATATGAAGCGATTCATGGTTCATCGACAAGTGGTTCTCATGAATTGTTAATAGGACGAGAGTTGGCCGGTGCCGCTCATAATGCCCTTCAAGCTGTAGAACGTGAAGGCAATACGTTAAACAATCGACGTCAGAAAAAGTTAGTTAAAACTTATAGAAAATCATCAAATGGTTTATTCATCTCATTTCTTATACTTTTCTAATTCGCTTGAAATTCATTTTAGGAAAGTTCCTGGTTTAAATATACCAACGAATGGTACACCACCTCTTCCAGTTTCACTTAGTTTAAATGCAAACGTATCGCATACACCAACACCGTCAATTTTGACCTCCACAACGGATCCAGAATCTCCGTCAGCGGCAATGTTGCTTGGTGACAATGGTCTCGTTGTTGATCCGACCACAGATGGAGATTGGTCATATGACCCAAATGAACCACGATACTGTGTTTGTAACCAAGTATCATATGGTGATATGGTCGCTTGTGATAATGAGGCTGTAAGTATTCGAATACTTATGAACCAATGTTAATCAAACAATAATATTTTGCGTTATAAAAATGTTACAGTGTCCATTTGAATGGTTCCACTATCCATGTGTTGGCATCACACAGCCACCCAAAGGCAAATGGTATTGTCCGAAATGTACGGCATCGATGAAAAGAAGAGGAATACGTAAATAGTTTGTATTGTCGTTACGTATACGTTTGGTGTAACCAAGTTCCACCGCATAATTACTTTTAGTAATTGTATCTTGTTTTTACTTTTGTTCAAAAAAGTAAATTTCATAGAACTCTCATAATAGATTCCCAACTAATTACAAACAAATCAATAAAGAAAGAATTCTCTAAAGTGATCAAATGTATTAACTTTTCCTTTAAACAAACCACAAAATACCACAAAAAACTGTATCAACTCTTTGCGACGTTGCATTTAGGATTGTTTCAAAATACAAGAAAGAAAAAAAAAAAAACAAAATGTACGAAATCTTTTGATTTTCTTGTATATGAAACTGATTGAACAAAAAAAGTACATTATATTTAAAGTACAAAATTATTGAAAACTATACGATATAATAAAGTAAATTTTGTTCAATCTCTGTTTTCATAAATTGCACATTATAACTCATAACTCATAATTCATAATACAAGTAAGACAAAATTCAAATATATTTTAATCAACATTCAATACATAAATTGATTTTATTAAATCATATCGCTCTGATTCGGCCACATCCAATGGCATGAAATATGCTGACGGCTTGTAAACAACATAATGTAAGTTAATTCAGTCCTTTAAGCGAATTACATTGCACTTAATAAGTAAAACTAAAAATGTTCTATGGCCTGGCATTTCGAACATAATCCTGATTGAAGTATATCACTGTAACAGTCATATCATCTCTGAACAGTCTGACCACATCCGATGGCAAGGATAACATATGCGAAAGTTTTGAATGTTCAATACCATAATCGGTTCCACCGAGCGCATTTCGAATTAAGTGTGTAGCACCATTTTTGTCAGCCGGCTTTGTTTTCATTCCAGCTCTGAAAAAATCCAATAAAATCAAATAGAAACATTATACATTTTATTTGAGTATAATTTATAGTAGTCAATAGAGATACATACTTTCTTTGTGAAAGCATTTGGGCAATTTCGCTAAGCTTGAGATTCCGTTTTGGGAAAAATGGTTGCAAAAATATTTTTCCAATCATATGCTCACCGACCAATTTGACGGCCTGTGTTGGTGACATAAAATCCCATATGCCATCCGTTGCAATAATTAAAAATCGATCGCGTGGTGTTATTAAATGGTAACTTATTTCCGGTTCAGCAGTTAAATAAGGCGGTGTTAAATAATTGGGCGGTATTACATGATCACCGTAATAGGGTACAGCATGTTTTTTTAGAATTTCCACGGGCCATTTGTATCGAAAATCACCAAACGCTCGTAGTGGAGCCAATTCCCCTAACAATCGCTCACCACGTATTATTGTATCGCGTTCGCTGAGTGGATGGTCCCCTGTGATTCGTCTCACTTCGGCCAAATTATCCGAATTATGTTCGTTAGATAAGCGCTTTGTTTCCCATTCACCAGCTTCATTTATCGAGCCCAGAACGGCCATACAATCACCAGTGTTTGCAATATGCATATCCAATCCGTCAATATAAACAACACAAGCAACCGCTCCAGACATTGCAACCGATAACGTTCGTGGTGTTTGGTGTTCCAGTGCTTCTGATGCAATATCTTTATCAAGCTGGAGAAAAGCGTTTTGAAGTGCAGCACTTATTTGAAAATTGTTCGAATCTTCATAGCACAAACTTTGCGCATATTGTGCAAAACTCTTTTCAAATATCGCATCAATTTCAGGAACAAAGTCAACCTTATCATTATGGCATTGCAAAAATGAATTACTTTTTGCCCCTTTACTCAATATTTTTCGTAACGAGTCTGGCGGAACCAAACTAGTTGCAATGTAACGCATTAATCTTTTGCAAATTATTTGCGCACATGACGGACCAGCATGGCCATCGAATACACCGAATAGAGAACCTGTAAATATTTCAAATATTCAATACAACACAAATTTCGGCTGGTAAATTTAATGGTTTACCATTTGTAAATAAGCAGGAAGCTTCGCTTCTTCGATCCTCAAGCGGATTGTTGGATGCCACTTGATTTGAATCATAACATTTTATCGGGGAATCATTAAAATCTGTTGTAAATTCCTTCTCGTATAGAATTCTATTGACCTAATAATGTCAATCGTTTAAACTTCTTCAAAATGTGAGAATATTATTATATTATTAGAACTTACGTCGTGTGGTGTGAGTTTAACATTAGTTGCTGACCGATAGTATTGGACGAGAACACGTGCACCATTTCTGTTATGAAAATCATAATTTTTCTGTAGAACACCAAAAGTAAGGCGTTGAGTAAGAGAAAGCATTTGTTTGATTCTTTTGTCCTGCTGATTTCTTTTATAAATATATTATTATTTACGTCTGCACATTAAAAGCACATTTCTACAATCCTTCGAATTAATTTAATAATTGGGTCCGGCTCAATGAAAAAATTCACATAGTTTGAAATCTGTTGATCGAATATTTTGAAAAATGTAAATAATTACAAAATTTAGTTGACAAAATGACAAAAAATATTCAAACTTTGATCACAGTTTCACGATATGGACTGCGACATTGTTTATCATTGCTTTATTTGGTATTTTTATGACATTTCGGTAGAATTTTGACAGATGTGAAAATTTTGAGGTTAGTCACCACTTGATACGGTAAATGAATTTGAAGAATATCTACGATTGCATTGAATTGTCGTTATCCCAAAAGTCATCATTTCATATGCAAATAAACGTCATACATGTGCGCATTATTGAAACAATCATTTTCTTTAAATATTATTAGTTTATTTACTGAATTTCCTATCAAAAATAAATTAGAAAAAACTGAATCCTTTCATATAAACAACATTGAATCGGAAGTGATCCGCGACTGTTATTGTTATTGTGTTGTTTTTCTTCTTATTTTTAATATTTGTGTAATATTTTAATAACATTATTAACGCCACTGCAGATTCAATTGCAATAAGAAAGAATATATAGACCAAAAATATTCCGATGAATTCATTTCAAAACAGATTTAATCATCCTCGTCAGATGAATCTGTGGTGAATTCACTTTCATTTCCATGAGGATCTTCTTTTTCGGACTCGGACTCGCTGATATCCCATTGTGGGTGCTCTGTTGGCACAGCCGATGCTTCTTTAACATCTAATTTTAGTTCAAGCTGCTGATCCATGCCCACATAAGAATCTGTCGTTTTATAAAAAAAATAGATTGATTCATTCAGTGGAAACTTGAAAATTCTAAATGTTCTCTATTAAACATACCTGATCTCAAACACACTGAGAATGTATAAACACCTGGCCTAAAAACGAAAAAAAAAATATATTTTCATAAAAAATTCTATAAAATGTATAAATATTAATGAATTACCATCTTGGTGCCGTGAATTTTAATTGAACTTCTTCGCGTTCAACTAAATTTGTGACGTGGTATGGTGCTGTCAGCAGTGTTCTTGATTTTCGATCACAAATATACGTCCACCAATATTCTTGCTTGTCTTCTGGGAAGTATGGACAGTGTACGCTATGTGATATTTTCGATTTGCCCTCAAGTTTTTCGCGCTTATTTAATTTTTTCTGGAACTTTTCCCATTCCTCATCATCATCCTCAACCGATGAAACCTTTTTCTCTTCATTATCTGATGAACGATCTGAACCAGCGTCACTATCACCCGCCATACCGTCTGACTCAGATTCGTCTTTTGTAGCTGCTGCGGGCGTTACTTTCGTATTGTCCTGTTTTACAATAATTGTTTGCTTCAATTTTCCTCCTTTATGCTTATTTTTTGCGCCAGCACCACCTTTATGGGGTTTTCGTGAGCTAGGCTTCACCCATGCTGAGCGCTTTACTGGTGGTGGTGGTGGTGCTTGCTCCTCATTTCCATCGCCATCCGGTTGCTCTTCATCGTCACTTTTTTAAAAGAAATAAAATGAAAAATGCTTTGCCAAAGAGAAGATAACATACTTCAAATTTAAAACTTACTTTATGCTTTGCTTCTCCGCAATATCTGTATTACCAAACAATTCGCTCATATTATTACGTACTAATGTAACTGTAACAGTGACTATTGCACCAGCAGTAACAACGTTGGTGTTCTCATCATCAATGACTGTAAAGATTAACTCATTAATTGAAATGTTTACATTTGATTGATTTCAATTTCAAAAATTTCAATTACCTTCGCATCGAATGCTGAAATCGATCAATGGCATTTTGCTTAGAACACGTATCACTTGTTCATATTCAAAATCACTCAAATGTTTAAGAATGTGTCGGCTTTCTTCTGGTTTTAATTGCGCAAATTGTTGCAAATTCTTGATGTGACGCTTTTTCGTTGAAAACATACGTAAATGATCGTCGGATACAAAAGGTAACTGTAAGAATGGAGATTTAAACTCCCATAAACCCTGAATAATCATTGGCGATAGCTTCATACAATTTTCAATGGTTTCAATGCTCGGCAGCTTTGAAACTATAAAAAAAGAGATTTTTTTTTAAAGTTATTTTCGTAACAAAAAACGTTTAAATGATTCAAGTACTTACTTCGACGTGCATACGCCAACATGATCAATTGATTGACACAGGAAACCATCTCTTGAATTAAATATGGACATTTTTGAACGATAAGTTGGCGATCTTTGTCCAGCGTATCTGAATTAAGTTCGATACGGCTCAAATGAGCATGTAAAATAGCACGAGTTTTCACCGAATACATCCTGCACAAAGGTATTTCCTTACATTTTTCATTCAAATTTGGCAACTGACGAATTAGCTGTAATGCAAAATGATTGATTAACATTCATTCCTCAAAATTATTCATAAAAATATCCATTCACAATAAATCGATGAGAATTTCTTACCGAAGGAACCTCGTCATTATCCGATGGCCGTTCAATAACTTGCGAATTATGTCGTTTATCAAATTCCAAACTAGCAGCCAAAATCATGATGACACGTTTCATAGCCATTTGTGGAGTTTTGTGGAAAAAGTATAAATATAATTGTGTAGTATCTAAGAGAACTTTATCACCGCTGAATCGGATTGAGCGATACCACCATGTTCCGACAGCAACTGGTAGTGCGACCATAAAAACGAGTGCGTATAATCCAAGTACCCAAACCGAGTTTTCTTTTTCGACAATCCATGACGGCAATGCAATACCAAACGACATAGCGCCCGGACCATCTGGATTGCCATATTTTTCCCAGTTTTTGCGTGATTCATCGTCCGTTAATGCTTGGTACGCCTTTGATAATTTCATAAACGCTTTTTCATCACCCGTTTCCTTATCCGGATGCAGTAAAAGTGAGAGTTTACGATAGGCACGTTTAATTTCCGACAACGATGCACTAGTCTCCAATCCCAAAATTTCATATGGATCAAAATTGGACATTTCGTAATCAAACTGTGATACTCGATACGTTAAATAGCCTAACAGTACCTAGGGATGATTAGAATAAAAAATGGGATTAATGGAAATTAATCAACATGTACTGGAACGTAATGGAATGTAATGGAAGAGAATATGAAAATTAAATGACTACACTCTTATATCGGTGGTATTAATATTTAGTATTTTGGGATTTTCAGCTACGATTAATCCAAAAGGACTAAAAAGTAATCCAATGGGATCATTTTATATTTTTTTAACTTGAGTTCAATAAACACTTTTTTGTTGTTTGTCAAAAAATATCTCAAAATGAATCTTCCTTTGGAACACTGTTTCATATTGTATTGACATTTACATGAAACTTCAAATGCTTGTCATTGTCATTCGATTGCAAACATAACCTTTCACGGTCTTATGTTTATTGTGTAAATCACCTGCACCGTTGTCGAAAAAACTAAATTTTGTTTCTGTTGGAATTTCGATTAGTTTGTTTATTAGAATATAATTCTCAATAGAATCCTGTTTTCCATCGCTTCTGTGCAATTTATTAGATTTCTGATAAAATGTTTTATAGCTAGTGAAAACAAAGTAAAGAATTGATTAGCGAATGGTTTTCAATAGAATTTTGGGTCGGTTCGCATCAATATCAACATTCAATGTCACAACCGCTTTTGTGTGCTCAGTGATTTTTTTTCAAAAGGGTAACATGGCAAACATTTTGCAAAATTTTCAAAATCCATCAGAATCTTGAACAACCGAAACACTATCGTAAAATGCGTGTTGACGAAAGATTAATTCTTGCTTTGTTGACGAATGATTTTCAATAAGATTCTTTTGCATCGAATATCAACATAAATTCCGTATCACACCTTTGGGAGTGTAATTTAGCGAACATTTTGTCAGCATTTGAAATCGGACTGCAGAATTATGAAATTGTATTTATGCAAGAGTGAAATGAACGCATTGATATTTGTTTATTGTGAACCCGTTCGATCACATGAATCGGTGATTGTATATTTTGATAAATTTTTAGAGGCCTGTTTTTAAAATACCAGGAACCTATAAATTCATCAACAATAATACATTGCTAAATCAACCGATTTTTGAGTATAATTAATAAATTTATTTGATGGCATGCATAGTCTATCATAGTCATTGTAGTTTTTGATAAATATAACAGTGGCCTGAATATTTTCAAACCGGCACTTTTATATTTATCAAAATATATTTTGATTATTCATCAATATTTCGAGGTATAAATATCGGTGGAGATTCCAATACGTTAACAGTTGCTAAAAATGAGCGGTCGCAAACGGAATCACGAATCGGCGTTTAAGCCACGAAAGAAGATAAAAATTAAAGAACACCAAACAATTAAAAAAAGTGCTCGAAAAGGTTTAAAAGTGAATCTGCCCATTAACACTGGAAAATTTGCTCAGTTGATTGACGTATACGTATTAGAAATGACACGGTGCTACATATTGGGTGCACTGAATTTGCATTATTTCACCAGTGATCATTTCAAGCGCAGTACAGACGAGCAAATCGAAGCATTCTATACTCAATTCGTCGACAAAAATTTTTTTCGAGATTGGTTTTACGGCGTTCAGTTCATTGAGCATGCATTTAACGACGCCAGAGAAAGCGGGTACAGGTTGTGTTACGGCATTTGGTACTATTGCCAAAAATACGGTGTTCGAGCTCCAGTAATTGGAGGATTCGGGAATGTAGTTGAATACGCAGTACAAATGTTTTATACAAATTACAAAAATAATATTTGTATGCACGCTCACTCACGCATCCGAAAGTTTTTCACACATCAAAACGCGAGCAAAGCACAAATTGATGACACCATGGATTTCTTATTCAAGCGAAACTCCAACTGTGTGCCAGACCTGAATTTGATGTGGGAACTGGAAAATACATTAAAGCCAATCCGATTCGACGATGGGAAAGGGTACTTTTTTGCTATGGAAAGCAATTGGTTCAAATACATACCAATATTCCTGAATTTGCAACAGTGAGTTTTCGTTCATTTATTATTGTGAATCAAACGATTGTATTTTTTATGCGATTTTTTTCCATTTTGAAAATTCTACAAATATCACACGAGTAATTTTATCAATTTATTTTTTGGAAAATATACAAAAATAGGTACATTCGCAATCATGAACGTGAACGAAAAGCCGCATTGAAGCGAGGTGAACGAACCGAGCTTCGTGAATACAGAAATTTCACCGTGGTACCAACGTCATCGTTCGAAAGACATTACATTCGAATTGATCGTAGAGTGTTTTATCGCATGTTGAGACAGATAGAATGTCCACATCGATTATTTCGCAATAAAAACGGCGGCCCAAAACAGAAGGAAGAAATCAAAAATAAAGAATGGGATGTATTATGGCGTCTGTATTTCGACATCGATAGCATCGAAAGAGAACCGAGAAACAAAAATGATGGCCATGCAACAATAAAATTCGACAACTCCATTCAAACAGATGGTGTCGGTATGTCATTTTTGATGGAACGAACAAAATTCATCATTGAAAAAGACGATGAAGAGCGTATGAAAGAGACACAAGATATGCTTCTGAAAAGCCAACAAGTGTATGGTCTCGATCCTGGACTACGTTTGGTCATTGGTGGTGTGCGCATTAACAATTTCAACGATCGAAATAATCGCACTGAAACAATCATTCGATTGACATCGGGCCAATACCAAGATATGATAAATTCATCGCGACGGAACAAATGGCGCAAAAAGTTGACAACTGAAATCGATGAAAAGATGCGTCTACATCGTGAGTCATTTGATGAGCAGCCTGGTCCACGAGCCGAAGACCATAAATCATATGCTGATCATATTTTGCGTCATTTTGAAGAAAAGTTCACAGCATACACACAGTATGAATACGCTTTGCAAGCATTTCTCCAGTACATTGACACGAATAGAGCACTTGATGCATATGCAACCAAGCTCATCGATGGTAAGCAAACGTTCATATTTGTCGGTGATCGTTTCATTGCGGCAGATTCACCAGCCCGAGGATATATTCGATCGAAGGTGCGAGATTTGTTCGAGAAGTTGAAACGTCGCCGTAAATGTACAGTGGTCGAGGTGGACGAATTTCGGACGACCAAATTATGTTCGTTGTGCTTCCGTGAACTTGAAAAACCGACAAAAAGAGGCAAAGTAAAGGAGAAATATCGCTATCTCACATGCCATGGATGCGAACCATTGTGTGGAGAAAATGTGCTTGGAAAAGCCCAAGGTCCGATTGAATCACGAAAAAGCAATCGCAAATTGACGCAGCAACGAAAACATCGTCCCCGTACTGATGGTCCACGTATGGCATCAAAATTTCGTAAATATGAAGAGAAAACTCAAATTGGGCGTACTATCACCTGGAATCGTGATGCAAATGCAGGTCGTAACATTCTCTACAAAGGTTTGTGTTTGTTAAATTGATATGCTCTCAGTTTAATATGAACAAGTCAATGAACAATAGACAATGAATTCGTTTTTTTTTATTCCTTACAAACAAACAGGATGGTGTGCTGTTATGAATATAGAGCTACATCCAGCTTTTCAACGGCATGTTGAAGAAGAAGAAGAAAATGCAGGAGGAGGAGATCCACCGCCAGCACCACCAGCACGAGCTCGACAATCAAGACGAGCAGCATCCAATCAAGTATGTAATCATTTCAATAATTCTGCTTTGAATTTATCTAATCAATTGAAGCTACACATACTTTTAATTTACGTTCATATTTAGAAATTGATATAATCATTGTCATTTTCAGAATCAACAAACAACACAACGAACATTGCGTTCTCATCTGGATCAAGCGCGGAGCTCTCGGCCGTAAGCCCTGGGTTTTGTGCGGGATTTCAACGTGGTCCTACAATTCGCTACAATTAGTAAGTATTTAAATTTAATCCTACAGTGCTAAAATTTAATCCCAAATCATTAATATTTAATCCCTTCTATTTTACAGTGTAATAATGGAATAGTAATTTTTATAGTACCCATCCTGCGATTATTAATGATTTCACTAAAAGTTCTTTTAGAAATCTATACGGTTCTGAGGTAGCAATTATCAACCGTTTCCTGATACAACTCGGGCATTGACATTCATCTTTATATTTATTTGGATCTGTATCAAAAGAAAAAAAAATATTCATAATATATTGAAAAATGTTATTTTTATTTTAAATTTTATTCATAGTTCTAGTGCCAGTTGAAGGCATTTGCAATGTAATTTTCATCTACCGTTGAGTTCATTCAAATGATGTCAACAATATGTTGATTGCTTTAAAGCTAAATAGCTGACCAATTTTAATATCGGCGCTTAAGACGTGAACCATAATCATTTATACAAAACAAGTAATATTTCAAAAATACTTCGGCAGATCAAATTAATTCATATGTTTGAAGCATCACATTCATTCATGTGGCAAACATGTTTAGACGAATTACTTAAAATTGATGACACGTACCTTCTTTTTTCTTGCGCGGCCAATAATAGAGTGTGGCTGGTATGAGGATCAATGCCAAGAACGATAGTAAAAAATAAAAGAATGTTCCTCCACTTTCATCGTATTGAAATTTTTGTCCGGCCATTTCTTAACACGTTGTTTATTTTATTGACATTAATTTAAACTTTCTGAGGGGTATTCAATACACCCAATATATATAATTTACTTTTTCTAAATCGTAAAATATTCACTATATCTGAAATTCACACAAGATATTTGGTTTTTAAAATAATTATGCAGAAATAAAAAAAAAACAAAAAAAGGGTGCAGAATCGACGCAAATATATTTCTATGTCAAATTGATACGAACATGAACAACTCATCCGTTCAGTATTGATTTGAAATGGTATGTTTCGAAATAGATTTCATGAATCTTGAATAAAGTTTTACTTTTACGATAATAGTCTGCAGCCCAATCGACCAAATTAATGTAATTGAACAAAAAAGAGGCAGATATCAAATGAGAATCAGTGCACAAACGAAATAATAAGAAAAAAAAAAACAAATTTCTATTCGTAAAAAAACATTAAGCGAGACGTGTCAGTGGAGATATTTCCAAGAAAGAAAGCTTACTTGGCTAAGTAAACCAATACTTATACACTATTATGACTGTTACAACAGCAATGTGTTAACCGCGTTTACATTTTGAAACGTCAAATCAATCTATGTACTTCTCTTGCTTAAAAATATATTATATATTTATTTAAAATATTCAATTATTATTCAGACTGAATATTTTTAAAAAAAAATTGTATTTTTTTAGAGAAATTTGGAAATTGTTTATTTTTATTAAAGATAGTTAAAATAAAAGCAACGAAACCCATTGGGCAACCCTAGCATGTAAACACTGAACCACACTTTAAATGGTCAGCGAATCGAAATTCGGTTGTCAAATTATCAAGGCAAACCCATCAATGTTATTAGTAATTCAAAATTGTCATTTACGACATAAATGAAAGAAAATATACAAAGAATTTTAGGCGTGAACCAAACTGACTCCATCATCAGTATAGTGAATTTTATGCAACATTTTGGTTTTAATATATAGAAACATTGTCAATTTTGATTTATATCTTAACGTCAATAAGTGATTTCTTATTTTCATAAGGAATCAAATTATTACGGTAAATAATATAAATTACTTGATAATCCTTATAATATTTTTTGTGTCGGAAAACGGAAAAAACAAGCAAAATGGTGCTTAAAGTATATATCAGCGGCATGAGCGGCAACAAAGAGGTATATATTTAATTTTCATTTTGTATAAATCTTCCAAAAGTTGTAATTTTGATGTGAAAATGTATGATTGATTCCGTAAAATTTCTTGAAAAATTATATTGTGGGTTTGTGAATATGATTACAAAACAAAAACTCATTTTACAATATGATAATAAAAAATGAATCATCCATCAAAAGCTTTAAATAACTTACAATTAAATGAATTTGATAATCATTATTGCAATTATTGCTAAGAAGCCGACACCGTAAATTAGAATAGAAATTTATGAAATTCCATCATAGACGGTGTTGCAATAATGTGAAAAATCTGTCATCTTTCCAGTTGAAATCAAACACATTCATTTTATTTCGCATCGTTCGCAATAGATTTTCCAATCATAGTAATCTGTTTGTTTTTTTAATTTAGCGTCGAACGTTTCGCCATTTGTTTTTCGGCCTTTCATTCTTATTATTCACAGTGTGTCTATTTTTAAACACTTAGACACTTTATTTTTATTTTGTTTCTATTTTGTGGCTTATTCGCTCCATTTTATCTATGCTATATGTGATGCTATATGTGATGTGCGAGTGATTTTTTTTCCACATAATCGACTATATAACTGTTTTATCATGTTCATCTTTTCGGTTGATATCAATACATATGTTTGTCTAAAAACTTCACTAAATCATATGTTACATTTATCAAGTGACGAACAGTATAATGTTTTTAAACAATATTAGTATAACTTTGCATCAATATTTTATGAATTGATCGTTTGAAATTTATGATTGGGAATTACATTTATCATGACTCTCATATTAAGGTGAAGAAGCGACAACAACGAGTTTTGATGATCCTCGACAGTAAAAATATCGACTATCAAGTGATTGACATCACAGAGCCAGGTATTAACAAATTGAAATGGAATCCGATTCATAAATTCACATATTAATCAATTGTTTTAAATAGGAAAGGAAGGTGAGAAAGAATTTATGCAAGAAAAATCAACTAACAAAGGTGCCACCATCAGTGACCAAGAGCCCAGACACGCATTGCCGCCTCAAATATTTTCAAATGAGGAATATTGTGGTAAATATCATTTATTTAGTATTATTATTGCAAATAGTGCTGATCGAAGTTTTGATAAATAATATTAATGATTGATTCTTGTGAAAAAAATTTAACAAATCTACGTAGGTTCTTACGATGAATTTGATTTGTCAAACGAAACGGATACACTGGAACAATTCCTAAAATTGGCACCACCTGTTGAAGAGAACAATGGCAAAAAAGAGGTTAGCAATGACAACTAAAACTATTCAACAGGGATTAAACAAATAACACACAAAACATTAAACAATGAGATACGAACAAATTGCTGTTTGCGCGTTACAAAGTAATCATATTTAACGGGATGCCCCGACTTTTAAAAAAAGTATAAAACATTTCATAATCGAAGGTTCCCGATACATTATCCAAAACTGAAACGTTTGTGGAAAGTTTTTTCATGTCTCCCCAGAACAAATATTCAATACATTCCATAGGACCAAAATAACTGATCATTCTTTGTAATTCTTTTAAAAATTGAGGCAACCCAAGAAGTAAATCTTTTGGAACTGTTTTTTTTACTGTTTAACATATCACAAAAACGGTAACCGAAGAAAGATAATATAATAATAAATATAATAATTAACAAAAGTAATGAAACAACATAAAAACAATGCAATAAATTTGAGATGCAAGTCTCTTGATTTTTATACGCTTCATATATAAGAGCCGACTCATGCACTCTTCATTTATTAAAATCATTAGCAATTTTTTGTTCCTAATTTAATGATCATGCATTTTTGTCTTAACTGCATTTATTAAAATAACTTTCTTATTTGATAGAGAATTCAAGTGGTTTATTGCATAAACCAAGGCATAAACCCATATTTAACCTTTTAACCTTTTTTTTTTTTTTTGTTATTTACCTTATCAAGCAAAGACTTGAGTAGCTCTAATATATCTATACCTAACAACTCAAATACATTTAAATTTTGCGGCCTTATGACAATCAAAATTTCGCTGCAAAAAGAATTCCGGCAAAAATGATTATAAGAATAATAGAACTAATGTAATTAAAATTATAATTGACATATGGTATTAATCATGTAAACATTCTCCTTTATTTTTTACATTGGAAATTTAGCAAATAAATGTTTCTAAGTCTATTATATTATTGTTTTTTTGTTTATTTGTGATGAATTAAAACCGATTATGTGTGCAAAAGCGATAACAAAACTACACCGAAATATTTGAAAATACAATTTTACTTCGTTGTATATTTTGATGATAACAATATTTTAATATAAGCATGCTGTGAAGAAAATGCTTTGATGCTCTTTAAGTTTGATTTTGCTGAATGATTAAACGAACAATTTATTAAATAATAAAAAAAAAATTCGTGTATTTTCAAATAAAATTTATTTGGATTTATTTATTGAACTCTAATACATTTTATTTTATGCAAATTTGAATCCAGTTACTTTTGTTTTTGGAGTCACTTCAATGCTCTTGCATGAAGATGTATGCTTTGTATTAAGATTGAAAAAATCCAAATAAATTGAATTTAATAAATACTTCCTATTCTAATGAAAAAAAATCCACCTCTCTGGTTGAATGCATTATAACTTGGAAATTAGTTGGATGACGATGAATCAAATGAAAATGCTGAGAAAAAGTCGGAAGAGGATTCAGCAGATGTTGAAAAGAATGATAAAAATGACAATAAAGACGAAGAAAGTACTGATGGAAATGAGAAAAAAGATGTAGACATAGAAAAAAATACTGAAGATATCAATGATGAAAATGAGAAAAATGAAACTGAAGAAACGAATGAACAACCTGGTGCATTGGATAAAGAAAAAGGTGAAACGCATGAAAAAGAATCAATTCACACAGCAGAAAGTGATGAAGATCAACACGTTGACAAGGAGGTAAAATCAGATGATGCCACCGATAAAGAACAGGATAATGAAATGACTAAGAAAAACGTTGACACCACAGAACCCCATGAGTCAATTGAAAAAGATGGCAAAGATGTAGAAGACATTGAGAAAGATAGCGAAGAGCAGGAGAATTCTGACGATAAGTCCACTGAAAAAAATAAGGTTGAGGATCTAGATTCGAATGTGACAAAAACAAATAATGAAAATAATTCCGATACCGAAAGTGAATCCGGTGATAGCAAGGGTGAATGTGAGGAACCTAACAAAGAAACTACATCGAATGATGCGGACAAACCTGAAAAACTAACAAC